CCGAGGTCGCGACTGCCTTGAGCGCGTCCTGACGGCCAGAAGAAAATCCGTCTTTGGAGTTAGGGACCTCCCATACCCAAAGCGCCTGCAAAAACTGGACCTCTATCCGCTAGAAACTAGACGCATTATGGGCGATCTATTTCTCCTTCACCATCTCTTTGTCACCGGTACTATCAAAACCTTCTTCACCATCGATAACTCTAGCCCTATCCGAGGTCACAGCAAAAAAACTTCAAGCCCCGTTTGAGAGCTATTCTGTATGCCCCACCTTTTACTTTTAGGGTGATATCCTAATGGAATGTCACCGTTGAAGAGATAGTCAGCTACCCATTGAAAGGGTCCTTAATCCCCTTTTTGATCATGACGTAGATTTGACTAGTCATCACCAATAAACGAAAATTTGCTGTAAAAACCTTTTTAGTTATACGAGAGATCGTAATTTTCTATTTCACTTCTCCCCTCGAACGGGGAAACTGTACTAATACCCTTTCAGTGATCTCCGTTCGAGAATCACTTCAACGGAAAAAATCACAGATTTCTTTCAAAGATTTGGGGTATTTAAGCAACAGCCTCGAACATGTGAATCACCTCAAGACTTGAAGACCCCAACTGCCTGAATGCCTGAGTCAAGTGTGACCCTAACAGGACCAACTGTGACTATATCTATCTTCGCTGCACTCGCTAGGACGGCGTCTCTAGGGAACAAATTCGAAAAGATCACTAATAGCGGCATTGGCCTAACAGCCTTATCATCTTTCCATTAGCCGATGTGATGAAACGTGACAACTGGATTGCTAGCAGGCATTCGATTTAGCTTTGAGATATCCTTGAGGCACCTTATCTGATTCCCTCCTGGCTTTGCTTTCAAGGATGTAAGGTTCTGTCGTGATTTTAGCTGACGGTATGACGCAAACCACGGGATGACAGTTTAAAGTTTCCGAAAAACTGTGATCAGTCAAGCTTCCCAGGGGACACTAACAAAGCACCTACGCCTTACAACTTCTAGATAACAAACCATAAGTTAATTGTATCGACCAATCAAAAGCCGTGCGACCCAGACAGAAGCCAGGAAAATGAGCCCACTACTGCTGGATGTCTTGAAAACCAATGAAATTCTTTTGTACATACTACTCAAACCCCATGGTTTCTTTCAATAAATGAACTGCTACCCATGAGGCCTTTTCCTTGTGTTTCATTTGCGTGGGATACTGTCGTGCAAGTGCAAGTCTGATTCAATGCCTACGTGAAGTGCGGGATGTGTATGGTGTGATTCGTAGTTCGTGATCGTTGCGTACTTCAGCTGTGACCATTTACCTCGCATTTCGGAATGCAGGATTCCCCATTCTCCCCAGCGTCAACTGTGTAGAGCACTTTGGCTCTTTTAGTTTTCCATAAGAAACTTCCATCCGTGAAAGAAGCTCACCAATCTATATAGAAGCTTCAGATTCCTTCTCTGAAGTATATCCCTCGTGTTATTTAACTCTTGATTCTACAAACTCAATCAATTTACCGCCAGCATTTTCACTCGTAATAGTGTTTTGAAGGATTTGGTTTTCTCTTGAGTTGTCGTGGAAGTCAATCTCAAACCAGCCATCACATCCAATTCTAATGTTGAGCATCTGGTGTAACATGCTCAGAGCAATCAGATACCCAGTTCAAATTCTTGTTCTGAATATAGATGAGATACTCCTTTTTAGCGTAAATTGAGCTCCTTTGATGGTGCCACTAGTTCCACCGGAGGTTTCTCCAGAACAGACCAACGAGCAAGGCGTAGCCCACGTGGGATCCAAAAAGGTCATTAAAACGAACGACCCAGCAAATGTCTTCGGCACTGCAATAATAAACGATCAAATGAGCAAATAAAATATGTACGAACCTCAAAAAGGACCTCAGAACAATTTGAAAACAAGAGCCAAGTGTTACCGTGAGCGTAATTCAAGGAATCTGAACGTAAGAAATGACTATGGATAATACTAGCGCGCTCACCATTACGCTGTATTTGAACAAGTCAAATGTGAGCGGTTAGATTGCTAATAAAACATAAAGGGTCCAGATGAAGCACAAAGAAACAAAGTCAAGTAATGGGAACTGTGTAAATATACAAAGGAGGTGGAACGTCAAACGTTGATGTATGAATGAGGCGGATGGCGTTGGGCGAATGAAAGGTGAACTTCACAAACTTCTGATCAGAGGTGATTTTTCCGGGTTTTACAGGAAGGATTTTCACTGAATGATCAATACACCTCCTGGAAAATCTTTCCCTGCCTCATACGTTAAGGGTGAAGTTCGAGGGAGCACCGATTCTCACTTTAACCACCTAACCCACACGGTTGTGCTATTCTATCGTGCCTCTCGTCGCTCTCTCTCTGTCTCCGACAGCTCAGGAGGTTAGCCACGAACCGTTTTCGATGACTCACAGTGCCTCCATTGCTAACCCGGAAGATTCCTTAAGTTCCGGTGTTCTCGGTCTGCTCTGCCTCTTTTTCCTGCAGGTAGCAGATTCAGCGGATGTCTCGCAGCCTTTTGCCAGCCGCTGTCTTTGGTTTCAGCGCCTTCGTTCATGTGGCATTCTTTAATGACTCCCAGAAGCCATTTATCTCTTCGTACATGTTCCTCTGCAAGCAGCACTATGTCGCCGACTGGAAAGTGTCTTTCTTTAAGCATCCATTTTCGGCGTGCCTGTAGGGTAGGTAAATACTCTCGGACCCATCACTTCGAGAAAACCCCAACCAAGTAGGTTGCCTGCTTCCAGCCAGTCAAATGATATTTGGTGATCGTTCGAGGTACCTCTAGTCCATGATTTGGTCTCAAGTTATCCGGTCGGCGTGAGTGTGAGACTTGGGCCTTCATCCACAACTGAAGTCAAGGTTCTGTTATTCAATATCCGCTCCATCTCGATCCGTACTGTGCCAAAGGTTTCATCGTCGATGGCCTGTTGATTGCACACTGCCCATAGGATCCTTCTCATCGATCTTATCAGACGTTCCCACACCCCTCCCTTATGGCCAGCGTACGGAGGGGTTGAAGTGCTAACGAACACCTTCAGAGGCCAATCGCTTATGTACTTACCTCTGGTCAATTCGGGAGAACTACTTTTGCCGCTCCTTGGATGCGCCAACGAAGTTAGAACCATTGTCGGAGTAAATGTTTGTCAGGACTCGACGTCTGCGGATCAACCGTTTAAGCGCCATTAGGAAAGATTCAGTAGACATGTTATGCACAATCTCTAAACGCACTGCGCCAGATTGCGTGCCGGTAAATAGGCACTCGTACCGCTTTGCAACCGATCGATCATACTTCACTACCAGGCGCCCGAAGTAGTCCACTCCCGTCGCCGCAAACGGCCGCCAACCCGCTTCAACCCTTAATTCAGGTGGGGAGGCCATCAGTTGCTTTCCGGTTACCGCATTCTTCCGATGACAAAACAGACATCTGGGATCTTCCCCTTTACCGCGGTCCTACACTGTGTTATCCCTAACCTTTTGCGGATAGCGGTCAATAGATGGTTAGTGCCTGCATACCCATTGCATACGTGGAGATAGTGTATGAGCAAAGTGGTGAAATGAGTGCCGGATGATTTGATGTTTAGTTTCGAATGCGTATTAACCCTTCAACCAGCATGGGGTTTAGTTTACGCCGAGAGCTCCGTTGTGTACTCTGTTTCGACGCTGTCGCTTTTAAGGGGAAGTGCTGTTGCTGTACTATTTTCACGACATCGTTCTCGGCTCTCATTAGGTCATCCGTCGATAAGAGTCCACATTCAACGATTGGTCTGGCCGAGACCCGGTCATGATAATCATCATATGTTTAAACCTCATCCACCAAGCGACTAAACGAATCAGTTTGTCCTAGGTCGAGAAGCACCACAGTTTCCTCAATAGGGGTAACGTGACGACGCGCTTCGCCGTCATTTGGCTTTTATCAACTCAACGGATGCGGGCAGTGCAATCAATTTACTCTCGTCCTTTGAAACAGCGGTCAGAAATGCCGGACCATGGAGCCAATCGAGTAGTTTCTCCAATAATTTCAAGCCCCAGGAGCAGTGATCGGCTGGGTTGTCAGCAGATTTGACGTTTCGCCATTGGTGCACTTTGGTCTCTTCGTGCACTAACGTCAGTCAGTTGCAAACGAAGGTGCTGAATCTAGTACTGACGTTGTTCACGTAGTGCATCACAATGGCAGATTCGGTCCAGAACGTGACGCGTTCTACGAATATCCTGAAGCACTGTCGCAGTTGCCGTGCTATACGCACAGCTGGCACTGCCGAGATCAGTTCGGGGCGGGGTATCGATGCGCACTTCAATGGGGCGACTCGTGGTTTAGCAAGAATTAACTCTGTCTTGCGTTCACCATTCACATGCTACCAACATACTTTGGCTACTGTCCCATATCCCGTTTAGGAGAACAAGTGCATTTTGGCCTTCGTCTCTTCACTGCCTTGGCAGAGTAGGCGCGGGATCCGTATCTCACTTAGTCTAGCTATTTTATTCAACCATTGTTCTCAATCTGCCCGGTCCTGCTCGTTCAAGGATTGATCTCACTTCACTCTTTTTCCATGTAGTTGTTTAGAAAGGATCTTTCCCGGTAAGATCCGCGGCGCAACGAATCCAAGCGGGTCGTATAAACTGGAGACTGATAATATTAGCCCTCGCCGAGTGGGGTTCCTCTCGGGTGGCGGAAGTTGAAAGATGTACTAGCCTGACTCTGTGCTCCAACGTACCCCCAAGGTAGGCTCGATAAGAAGTGGCTGTGTGATCAGGTTGAAAGCACCGTTCGATCTTTTGGTCTCGGGAATGCTGTTTAAAACTACAAACGAATTGATCAACCATTTGTTTAGACGAACAACCCCGTTTTTCAGTAAGCTTTTAACTGCTCTACTTGTTGCAAAGCCGCTTTTGCGTCATCGAATTCGCTCAGGAAGTCGTCGCCGTAGACGTTATTCCTAACGCTAGCTGACACAGGCGCGGAAATCGTTTCCATACTGTGAAGCTGTCCCCGAAATGCATAATTTAGGCAGAAGTGGGAGGAAACTGCTCCAAATGGGTGAACGGTCAGTCGATGGTCTACTGCCGGACTCAGTACTTCGTCTTCAGGCCACCATAGTAGTCGCCGGGCGTCGCGATGATCCTATGGTATCTTAAATTGGAGGAACATTTCTTATATGTCGGCGGCCACCGCAACTGCTCCTATCAGGAATCGCTTAAGTACGTCGACCAGTGGGTTTGTCCAGTCTGGTCCTCGCAATTTACAATCGTTAATGGGGAGACCGCTGAATTGCGCCATATAATCGAATACCGTGCGTATCTTCCCCGGCTTTCTAGGTTTGTGACGGGGCGGTGTGGTAAGTACCATAGTCTCTCCCCACGCATGCTTGAAACGTTCACTCGCTTTATATATCCCAGCCGCTCGTTCCCTTGCATTGCTGCGGTATACTACCGACATAGTTCTGCGTCCCGGACTGGTCACATTTTAAGATACCCCAGTCTTTTTAAGGCTACCCCATGGTTGTTCAGCAATCGGGCATATCCCGTACTTCATGGCCACGGCACCCCGAATCCGTCGGGCTGACAGCGGGTCCCCTTTTTGACTTTTGCTAGTGCTGGATTATTTTCTACAGATGGGCTTTCGTTTAGTTTTCTCAAATGCTCGAACTCGTTGTCGTACATCTGTTGTAGGATTTGTTCTATCATATCGTCAAAAGCAGTGGTGGTGGTGGTCGTGGTGAAGGTAATGAATAGAGGCTTGCAGTTGGTCCAATATGGTGGTCTAAATAATATTCACCCAAAATGTTGCGAGCAGTGCAATGTTCCTTCCTGCCGTCCAGTCTCTGGTCCAGGACCCAGTGTGCTTCTGGCACGTCGCATCCTATCAGCAATTCGACCTCGGGAGAGTCAGCTTCTTCGAAATGCATATCTCTCAGGTGTGGCCAGCGTGTTGCTAGCTTCCCGATCGATTCTACCGATTGTATCGGTAAGTGGGCTATGGTGATGGCTTTTGTTGACTCCACGAGTTCACCACTAAATAGTGACACCAATCTCACGCTCGTTTGATCGGCGGTGGTACCATTCACCGTGCTGATCTTCAGGGAAGATGGTCTGGTTGCCCTATTAATCTTTACGGCGAAACGTTTAGTAATTATGGTGGTGTTGGATCCATTGTCGATAAATGCCATCGCCTTCACTACCCTTCCAGTTATTAATATACCTAATGGTGTTACCTCGAGACGCACCTGCTTGCCCGTTAATTGCAATAGTAGAAACAGGCTCGGTGTTTGGAGCGCCAATAACCGCATTTCTCGTATAGAATGCGAAAGTCATGATGATTTCCTTGACACGCGGCATCTACTAACATTCCTACAAGCAGCTGCGCCACGTGAGCTATTCAAGCAGATAAAGCACGAACCATGCTTCTTGTCTGCTTCCCAACGATTCGGAACATTCAGCTGTACAAATTTCTGACATGCCGATAGCTCATGAATTGCACGATACATGGGGCATCCGGGTGTACAACGTTCACTACAGTTGCATAATTGTTGGCATTTCTAGAGTTTCTTGGAATGTTGTAGGCCCGTTCTTTGATGTGGTCTTTCTTTTTGTCTACTTATGCGGGCAAATTGTCCGATGCGACTGCTGGCGACGTTTACACAAGTTCGGATGAATTCCGTCAGCTCGGTGAAATTCTGTTCTTTTCCCAAACGACCGATAATCAACGCTTTCTCTACTCATCGCTGCTGGATATCAGCCGGCAGGCATCGGGCTATCAATTCCAAGGCGTACAGAGCATTTGAATCTGCTTCGCAACTCATTTGAGGTAGGACCATGAAACAGTTTTACATCTTCATCACTAGCCTTACTAACAATTCGGGTTCGTTTCTGGTTTTACGGGCTTTAGCCAGCATATCATCTATGAGCGTCCAAACCACGTGAAACGGTTGAACAAAAAGTTCCTTCAAGATATCCCTTGCTTAGCCACACCCTAGTTCATTTGATAACATCACACATTCTTCGATGGCGTTTCGGGCTTTGCCGCGACAGCAATGTTTCAAGTAGGGAAGCTTCTGCCCGAGATCAGCGAATCTGCACTCGATGAAATTATCAAACTCTCTGATAAATCTCCAGTAGCTGCAAGAGGTTCTGTCGACTGGTGTCAGTTCCACCTAAGGTAGGTCTATCGCCAGGTGCCGGTTGTATTTCACGTTGATGTTTGAAAATCTTTCGCAACCAACAATGATTAAATCTGACGTAACTTCGTTCTTGCGTTGCTTGTTTATTGACGTATTCTCACTCACAAATACCCACATAATTGTTTATCTATTGACTCGATACCCACCAAATTTCAATTTGGCGTGGATAGAGAACGTAATCGACCTGTTGGCTCTTGTTTGACATCCTATTTGGTTCTCAAATGCTGGGTTAACTGCCTTCGGCTTCCCTAAGATTCATCGACCTAATCCCTTCCTCTAATTTAAATACCCGACACTTTAACATCTGCATCTGCATCACAGTCTAGAGCGCAAAGGCTACTAGCAGGAATAAGGCTAACTGAACTAGACATGCGAGAATCGGAGACCACCCGAAAATCCATAGTGACTTGTCGAGTTAACTCCTATCCTTCGTTGTTCAAGCGACATTCTCTTCTTGACCGCGCGCGGTTGAAAATCTGTTGTGGATCGATAAGTTCGCAATTTTACGTTTAATCAGTGCCTTGCTGTACATCTTTGCTTATATTCTTGATTGTTGCAACGCTAAACTAACTCTATTCCACCTTATTCCATTGCGATTTATATTTTATTAGTACCACTACTCTTTAACTATGTATTCTGAGCTCTCTAAGTTCTGCGACGAGGACACTTTACCCATGCAGGAGATCCCCATACTACATGAGGTGGCTGAAACCAGCGATTGGGCTAACAATTAAATAGCGCTAGAAGCGGCTCGGACCTGCAAGGTTCGATTATACACGAACTGAGTGGAAAAGTCTCGGCACCAGATAACGATATAAGTCACCTGACGGCATTATTTAAGGATAACTTCCCAGCATGTGCTGCCGCAGGCCAGGCGATCGCGCTATCGAAGCAACAGATATTCGACACTGCAGCCAAACCGGAATCAGCGGCCATTAGCGCCAAAAGGATTATGATTTGGGGTAGTTTCCTCAAGTTCAATTCTCCGGTTTAGGCAACCGAAACCCTCTTGAGAAGCCTTACAGCTCCATCCCTACCGACACCAATCGGAGCGTCGTGGCTGATGTCCAAATCTAAGAAGACGAAGGTGGGCATTCTTATTACCTTCAACTCGGAATTAGTGGTAGCAGACGCTCTCGCCCAAACCGAGACCCTGAAAAGGGCATGCAACCCTGTCCGGGGAGTTTCTCCAGACAAGCCACTGCAAACCCGAACTCAGCGTATGAAAGCTCTCAAAAGAAACAATGGTGCCGGTGATCCCAAACTCCGCTGTTTGCCGTTGATCCCACTCTCACGCATTGACCACCGAGCGACGACATCCTTCCCACCTCCCAAGGCACGACAATCTCCCAGGGTCTCAATGACATCCGCGGGGCGACCTATGCAGCCCATTACAGCATCGACACCAAGGCCCCGCACTCCCGCCAAGAATAATATTAACGCCAAGACATCCCCTAATCCCAAGCCACAACGGAACTGTTTACTCGGCAAACCCCCTGTACCACTCTTCCCAACCGGGTCACTGGCACTACAATCCCCCCTTTTCCGTGACGCGCATCCCAGTGGGCAACAGGAATACCTCGCCCACTCCCGTAGGGGATCGCAAGCCATCCCTTTTCTCCTCGCGTTCCATCCTACTCATCCTCCCGACCTCTTCAGCAGGTTGAGGCAATCACGCGGCGGAATGGTCCACAATCCGAACCGTGTCCATAGCCCACTTATTACAAACCAGATACCCAAATTAGAGCCCCTCCCAAAGATCCCTCCTCTAACCCTGTTACTACTGACATTTCTGGTGAGTGGGCTCTGAAGTGCATCTCCACTAACTATCACAGCATCGCGAACAAGATGCTGGAAGTCAAACAGTTAGTGGCCGATAAGAAACCGCATATTTTAGCCCTCACAGAAACCTGAATGATCCCGGAAAACAGCGATGGTGAAATATCCCTTGTATGTTACTCAGTGATCCGAAGAGACTCAATGAGAGGTCGAGTAGGTGGTGTGATCCTCTACACGAGTGACCACCTCCCCCAAGCGATCACTCTATCACTCCCTCCCATCCCCTTCATAGGCCGTCTTTGGGTCCAAATTCCCCTGTCCCTCTCTGAGACATTGGTGCTAGTAGTAGTCTACCGCTCGCCCTCCTGTGGCGAGCTAGAATCACAACTCCTGACAGATCAACTAAAAAGCTTAAGATCTATGCGCCCCAATGCTTATCTTCTGATAACTGGAGACTTCAACGCTCCGGCAATAGATTGGCGCAGATTCCACGCCCCGGACAACACATTTGGTAGGCTGTTAGTCAACCTGGTCACAGAGCTGTCCTGGTCTCAGCACGTCAAAAGCCCAACGAGATACAGAAACGGGCAAGCCCCCTCATTGCTAGACCTTGTCATAACAGGTGATAGTCACCTCACAGACAC